ATGTAATTAGTAAATATTTCATTTTACGCTTATATTTCTTTTTTATTACTAAGGCCTCGATAGTCTAAAGGCTTAGGAAATACTCGCACGGAATGAAAAGAGAGTTCGATTCCCGGCCGAGATAATATTTTCCGCAATAAGAATTAATTATTTACAGATTTTAATATGTCATTCAATTATTAAGATCCTTTCGAAGATGCGAATAAGCATCAAAAATGTATTAAATTGCTAATCAATTTAACTCGTGATAATACTGCGATGGTTTAGTAGAGACCGTTTCAAGACTAAAATATCATTTCAGCGTTTTTGGGATACTACATACGTAGTACATAAATTCACATAAGAATTATACAAGCATTAAGTTCCAGCTAGAACGTTTAAGATTTTGATTTCTACGGTTTGTGTTATCACATATAATATATTATATTTCTTTTACTTCTCTTTGTTATATCTCTCAATTTTTTTACCTTGCTACATTTTCCAGTCGAACGTGCCGAGCATGCTTTAAAGAAGCGAATATTATTGCAGACCAGCACTGTTAGCTATTATGAGAATATTGCAAAGGGAGCTATTTTCCTTTTTGCAAAATATTACTTTAAATTTTATAATGCACAGAAAGCAAAAGTAGTTTACTACAGCAAAATTCTGCTTTGCAATATGAAAATTATTCCATTAAATTATAGTATTAAATGTGACGTCCTTTCATCTCGGCTTGATTATTGCGAATGCAGTGATTACAACATACGGTTCATGTTAGCATGTTATACATATACAATTTATACATGTATTTATACATGTAATTTAAATTTCACAGCTTTAACGTATCAGTAAATTTAGTTTCGGCCAGATATAACTTGCCTTGCTCGAATAACGAAGCCGCGCCAATATGTTTCACGACGAGAGCTATCTCATGCAGGTAGAGAACGTTCTCCACATTCGGTAGTGAGTCGTGACTTCTCTTTCTGAAGGCAGGAGTTTCTCACGAAACGTTACAGCCAAAGCGCATCGAGGAGTTCCAATCCGTGAAGTTGCCAACATTCGCATAAGATGTAAATAATGTTTCGCCTCCGGTGCATTCCGCATGCATCGAAAATCCAAGAGGAACGAGTACTGCGCGCATCCGTCGATCCTGATCGTCAACGTCGCGGCAGCCCGGCACCGATACATCCATTTCCGCGAAATTTTCAACCACATACCGACTCGCGCAAGAATTCTCGCGACATATGTCTTCCAACGATTTCCTTCTTTCTCCTTTTCTTTCTCTTCTTGAAGATACATACATGAGAATACTGTCGGCTTTCCCGACTTCACTTTATTTTCTCACTCGACCATTTTTCTCCTTCATTCGTCCCCATCTCAGTCAGGAATAGTTCCGGTTGTTTGAACAACGACACGAATATTATTCCGATTACGTGCGACTTTTCCGGCTAGAAAATCTCTCTGCGATTTTTGCCGCACCAGACGACATGCGACAGTTTACCTACCAGTAATATTTCTGCTGAAGATATAGATATATACATATACAATGACGAACGACGTTTCTAAACTTTTCAAGGCGAGATACTTGAGTGCCGACCTTTCCATTCGACAGTACTCTTCAAATCTTTCCAACGAACTATGTGATCAAAATTTTCTTATGTCGCGAAGGACTTGGCAACGCGAAGAGTCACGTTTCACGGAAATGCGCAAGATGTGGATCAATGATAACGATTTATGAGAATGCAGTTTTCTAAATAATAATTTCGATGCTTCTCTTCCTGAACTTTAACTTTTCTTTTAACGTTAAATTTAAATATTATTATACACTACGATTATCTATTTTCTAAAGTATACAGATGACCATCATATTGAAAAATTTACTATTCAAAAATGATTTTCGATAGCTGATATTATCTATTTTCAAAAGTATAAAATTATAAAGTGTGATCATTATATTGAAGAATTTGCTGCTTAAAAAGTGATTGATAACTGACAAGAGTATCAAAAAGCTTCTTTGAAAGGATATATATATATATATATATATATATATATATATATATATATATATATATATATATATATATATATATATATATATATATATATATATATATATATATATATATATATATATATATATATATATATATATATATATATATATATATATATATATATATATATATATATATATATATATATATATATATATATATATATATATATATATATATATATATATATATATATATATATATATATATATATATATATATATATATATATATATATATATATATATATATATATATATATATATATATATATATATATATATATATATATATATATATATATATATATATATATATATATATATATATATATATATATATATATATATAAGTGACATACTTCTGCAGTATCTCAAAACGGACAAGAGAAATACTAATAATTTAACTAGTGCTTGCTAAACCTTGGCTCTTGTCAGACAACTTAGGAATGGAAGAAGTTAATTTGCGAATTTCATAGGACCCTTTCTCTCTTGAGGGTTCACCAAGCTTATTACAGTAAATAGCTTAAGCGAGGGTGCCCTGTTCGGCCTCCCTTGTTCAGTTGGGCCTTTCATCTCGCAAAATTCATCTCGTTCTATTTCTCCCTCCGGTCTACGACCTAAAGGATACAGACCGTGGAATCGTTATCACTTTATCAAAGTCGGGCGTGGTGTTCGCGCCGACAGGAGAAAGACCGTGCTTTCAACCGACCGTATCGTTTATTAACGGTTTAACAGCTTCGGGCAACGTATATTGCATTAAAGTACGAGACATCGCGCCGATTAAACTGTTGCTGTGCCAAGGAAAAAAGATTGTTCCGCCACGAACAAGCACGCGAACGAGAAACGCCTGCTTCTACGGTATATTTAAAGCGTACTACGGTAATGGGATAGCGACGCGCGCAACGATAAATGGTTTGGAAGCAAACCTTCTTAACCCTTGCATAGTTCCTTACACTAAATTTATCGAGTAAAAATATACCTTAGCGATACATAGTTCTTAACTCTCCGCCAGTAATGTGAGGCTTTAAATGCACAGTCGATTTTTTTATTGTGAATTTTTTAGATAAATTTAAATCTGTAAAAAATAAATAAAATGTTAAGTGTATGCAGAAATTTTGGTCTTTTTTTTAATTTTTCTTTTATTTAAAATAGAAAAATATTTACGCGTAAATATTTTTCTATTTTTTTTTTTTAACAAATTATTTAATTGATGACAATTGACATTAACAGGTTTATCCGATTGAAGGGAGTCTTTTAATAGATCACTTTTCATATCTCAACAAATCACAAAAGGATCTTCATATCAACATTACTGTCTTTAAAATGATAAAACTAGTATTTGCATGTATTGTGAGATACATTACATTACCTTCGCCAAGAATAGAGCCAAGAAATTGTTTCAGAAATTGTTATTTTTCTTTCTTATTGGAATTCATACGGAATATAATGTCAAATATAAAACTTTTTGTTGCTCATCATGTTCACCGTTATTTTATAATATTATGAGCATCATTAAATTATTAAATATAAATTATAAAATATAAATTTCAAATAATCTGATATCAGTCTTACAAATATATGAAACATATTTTGAATTTATTTTATTCAAATTAATTATTTGAATTTAACATACTATAATTATACCAGAACGTAAAAAAAAGACTAAAACTTCTGCATACACTTATAATCCAATTTCTATAATTATAGTAAAAATTCGTTATTAAAGCTTTTACAAATATATAGGAATTTTTCAAATTTTTATACAGTTTAGAACAATATAAAAAAATCTGCATTGAAATCTGCATCGAAAAGAAATTGCAGACAAAGAGTGAAAATTTTATTGCTGATGGGGATTAATTTAACATCTCATTTATATTACAAGTTCGTTTAACATAATAGTAAAAAAATAAAAGTTCAGTTAAATACGAGTTGCTTGATGTAATAACACATCTTCAATTAGCTCGCTACATTTTAATGCAATGTAATTGTACTTGTAATAAAAAATTATATTTGTAGTAAAAAAGAAAATTAAACTAATAAAAATTAACATTAGGCGATGTTCAGTGCAATGGATTGGCAGTTTCATTAATTCACATATCATGCATATAAGAGGATGAAATCTCGGGCGTGAATTTTAAAGCTGGCAGGTTGAAAGAACATACCACTATGATTCTTATCGTCTACCGAAACGAAATCAGCTGAAATCCACTTTAAAAGGTGCAAATCCAGGCGGTTTCGATCGGTGCAAATAGTAGTTCGCAATACCATCAAACTATTTCCACCGGGGAAAATCGTGATTTGAATGGTAATCACACGACGCAGCAAGCCACTAAGTCCACTTGCACGTCTTCTATGCAAATAGACATGACTTCGCTTTTCCGCCACGCACGTATGAGTCTCCACGGCACATCGCGCTCTCACGATCTGCGAACACGAGAGATATATCTCCGAACGAGATTGCATTTGCTGCAGCGGAGCAGGATATGTATGACCTATTCGACGATGTACTTTCGAAGCTTCGCTGCTTGCACGAGGTGGCCGTTCGTATAGATCTGACGTACTGATGGTTCCATCGTCTCCATATTTCTCTATTTAAAATTACCGAGATAAACGGTCGGATGCACGCACTCCTGAAACTGACTGCAGAGCAGTGCTCAATCTAAAGTAGTTTTTTCTTTCATTACTCGGCAGATCATATATTCCGCAAAATGATGATTCATGATATGGGTGAAAAGATTTCAATGAAAAGAATTTAAATGGAATATTTAGATGAAATATTTTTTATAATTTTATTCGTAATATCTGAATGTGCAATAATAAATATACTCTTACATTATTACTAATTGTTTTAGCTATTAGAATCATACTCATGTGATAATTTCTGTGTTTATACAAAATACGATTTTCAATATGTTTGCGAAAATATCTTTATTGATTGAAAGTTGAAAATTGATTGATGGAATAGTTTTTCCAGAGAGCATCGCGTACGAATCGCATGTTTTTATGGCGGATACCTTTCAAGAACGCACAACAGCGGAAATTGATTCATACTTTGACACCACAATGCCGTCCAACGTCACTGGTTTGGCTGGAGAAACTGTTCAACTGGCGTGCAGAGTGAAGAACATCGGAAATAGAACGGTGAGTTTAAAATATCTTTTTTTTACAGGTGCTTAAATTTTTAGTATTTATATTATAAATAGGAATAAATGGTTGACAAAAAGAAATGAAATTAAATTTTATCGCGCACAATAGTCGAGAAATTCATTCGATAAATTTCATTTCATGTTAAAATTTCCGATTCGCTTGTCACAGAATTACGTATTCCAAGCAAATCTTAAGCCTTACAAGTAGCAATTCAGATTTTGACACGGGATATTGGCAGGGGAACAAGAACCGACGAGCCACAAACACGCGAGATAGGCTTGCCCGAATAATGCACCAAACTCAGGAGCGATGAACCAAGACAAGCGGCGTCGACATTTTCGAAATGTCGCGTGAAACTACGTCTCTTTGTTGCGGGATTATGCGACTCAATGAGTCGCATAATGAAAATGTATTCTCTAAAACTTTTAAAATGAATCTCACTCCGAAGAGTAAAATTTTACTCTTAAAGATTGAAAATTGAATCATTCTTTTTCAGGACTGGCTCAATTTTCACTCTTTAAAATGAGATTCCACCTCAAAGAATTTAAAGGTGCAAATAACGAATGTCGCAAATAACGATGTTTACATCAAAAAGCGAGAAAAGAGAAAATAGCGAGATCTCTCATAAATTAACCAGGAACAAAAATTCCATGTCTATTATTCCAGTTATGTAATTATCGTCGCTATTGCGGTATCGCGATCATCAAGATTTCAATTTCATCCTAACTCAGACCTCCATTGTCGATTAAGTTAAATCGGTTCCGCTCGTACCGGTCCGTAAGACAATTTTTTTCACCTCGACGGTTAAATCAGTGTTTCGAGTAGGTCGGTAAATTAACTCGAAGGCGGACACGGCCCTTGGGGAATTTATCTTCCACTCTGGGACCTCCGGGCGTCCTCGATTTCTAGCATTAACGGTTCACGGCACTACTCGGGGATTAGCGTAGCGGTTAAGTAGAAAAGGACGATCTTTGTCAGACTATGTCTTCATGCAGATTCGGTCGGGAGGTCACAGTTTTAATCCCAGAGTCTCATTTCTATGCAAAGGTCGATCTTTGCGTTTATGTCAGCCGTGGCTACGTATGTACCGTCTAATACATTTCGTTGACATTATGCATTTATCTGTAGAGATGCATGCGATAATGAAGCTTCAATCATGATAATTAACACTCCATTATGGTGATAATGATAATGCTGTATTATTGCATATTAATATCTCGCTATCTGAATATATACATGTGTTCGTATATGTATATGTATTAATATTGCGAGAGAACGTCAATGGAATTGCTCGAACAAAATTATGCACAGTCTCTGACTTTTAGTGAAAGTGCAGAAATATAAAAAAGCCGAAAACGAGAAGTTACATGAAAAAGTTGCGCCTCTGGCGGATAAGAATAAGCGCCACTCTTTCTCGAGGTGATATTAACTATAAAACTCGGTCTTGCGTATGCAAAAAGATTTGAAAAAGGAAGAGCAGCAATCGCCATTATGGCAGTCATAGTGCGTTCTTGAGTTTTATCCACTCGCATATTTCTGCCGAAGCTATGCACGACCGTGTTTTTTTTCTCTTGCGCGCATATCGTGAATTTTATTATGCAAAAAAAGTTTCCCACGAGTATACTGGACAGATGATGTCTTCTTTTTGTGAAACGTATATTTTAACAACGCCGGTATACTCGAGCGGCAATCGCATTAGATCGACAATAGGAAGCTCTAGCAGTTTATATTTCTGATAATACTCGAGCGTAAATGCACGTCGTAAGTTTTGCCCTGCAATCGATCAACAATATGTTGTTGCACATGTTTGTTGTTGATTTACGTATAATATATTATGCAAAACAACATATTATAACGCAATATAGAATATCGTATTGTGCATCATTTTCATAAAATAACAAAGCTTCTGTTGATTTTTTTGTTTCTGTTCTATGTTTAGAAAGGGATTCGCTTGCACTACAACTTACATTAATTATCCTTTATAACAATACTATGAAACAAGATTTTGTTTTGAATGCAGACATTAAAACAAAGGTAGACAGATTACCGAGTATTAAATGAATCATTGAATGAATTGGTATATACAATATCTGAGTTCACAGACATAAGGTTAATTAATTAAAATTATCGTTTCTCCATTGTTATTTTTGCATAAATAAACGCTTGGCTAAAACGAATCAGTTAATGATATTGTTTCCAATTTACCATTGGTAAATAAAATATTATAGCATACAGATACAGTTTAACGATTTTCGCGAAATCGCGTATGAATCATGGATGAGCTTTTCGTACAGTGTGTAGACTAATGTAATCTGTTAAAGTAACAAAAACCATTGAAATTATTAAAGCGCCAAATTCGTCAGTATAATGTAATTTCCAACACGTGAAGAAATTACATAAATTATGTATGAATATTATTACGGCTCCGAATCGGTTGGATTCTTCTGTAATTAACAGCTTGAAGAATTTCTCAGCACTATTCGAACTTGATTGTCATTTTACATCCTGTCTATAATATTTATCATGTCATCGCTATCATACTGATATAACGATATAATTCTAGCGATCAATACTTTGTATTCACGATATTATCAGATATTTTTAATAATGTAGTTTAAAAAAAAATTTAACATAATATCGTTAAAAAAAAATTTAACGATATTATGTTAAAATACATATATATCATGCCTATTCGTTTTCTGTTCCATAATTTCTAAAAGAAGTTAAGTGAACAAATTTGCTATGCCTATTCGCCTATAAATAATTGCAAAGTACGAGAATCGTCGTTGCGCCGAGATTGTAGTCATACATCACGGGGTTATATAGCATTAAACAAAGACATGAAGTATTCCAGCTGCGGCGAATCTACTGCACTCGTAAATTCTCGGGGCTAAGAAAAGGGAGAGTATAAAGTTTTATCGTCCAATCTTATGAGCAACAGGGCGTGAGGAGCGGTGATAGTTAGCAATACGCGCAACGCTCGGTAACTCAAGATTTCTGCATTTAGATTACAGGAACCGATATATTTTTGTCATATCTTTTCTTAACTACTGATTTATGACGAAAACACTTACACATTATCACAATTCAATCTCTTTTTTGATGCTATAAATGAATATAAAATATATTTGATTAATAAGTTGCTTTTACTTATATTTGGAAATCGAAAAACTAGAAATATTAGGTGTAATAAAAAGAAATCCATTATTTTTCCATTCAATTTCATGCAAAAATAATTTCTTTTTATTACACCTAATATGTAAAAATAGATATTATCTATATCGTATTTTCATTGAAAGTAGTTTGAAGAGGAGCTAAACGAAGAGGAAATATCTAAATTATTATATATATAAAATTAAAATAATAAAATAAAATAATAAAAATTTTTTGACATTTTCGAAGATGTTTAAATAACTTTAAACATTTAAGGTTATCTTCTTATTGTTTGATTAATTATTAAAATAATAATTTGCTGCTCCAAAAATAAAATAAATAAGTACATTCACCTATGGAACTTTCGCGGTTATTAATGTAAAAATAATATATTTATACGGAGATAAATTTTTATTTTATTTTTTTACAAACAATTGGAACATACTTATCAATAAAGTTAGCTGCAAATGTTTTGAGTCTAGATGTAAATACTCTTCAATGCACAAGTTAAGTAAGTTAAGTAAGTACAAACTTGTAAAGTTCTAATTGTTTGCGAATTATATCTTATCGCCTTATAAATATATTATTTAAGTACTAATAACCGTGGAGATTCATATAGACAATTTACGTATATTTCTTATATAAAAAATTTAAAAATAAAAATGTATTCAATTTTGCTTCCTAACTGCGCTCCTATTTATCCTTTATATTTTTCCTTTAATCTTAAAAATAGTTTCTTTGAATATTAATTATACAATATAAATCAATGTTTGATATTTGCCTTAGGTTTCATGGGTGAGACATCGTGACATTCACTTGCTGACAGTCGGCACTTATACTTACACGAGTGATCAACGTTTCGAAGCGATGCACAAATTCCATACAGAAGAATGGATTCTCAGAATACGATATCCGCAGCGAAAGGATTCTGGTATCTACGAGTGCCAAATATCCACGACTCCACCCATTGGTCATCCTGTTCGTCTGACTATAGTTGGTGAGTCATAATTGCCGTATAATCATAACGAACAATAATTCTAGCTTTAATAGAGATGCATGAGAATTTGCATCGTAATTCAGCCTGATTCTATCCTGGTAAATACAGCGATTCATTCATTTCTAGAGTACATTTTGAATTATGTTTCATTTACATAAAGTTTCCAGTCATATTAAATATATTCTTTTAATTCATTTTTTCATAATGAATATTAACTAAATATTGAATATCATCAGACAATAAAATTGAACAGTAAAAAAATTTCAAGAATAAAAAAGAAAGATGTTATATATTAAATTATCAGATTCTTCTCCTTCATTTGCAAAGAAAATTCACTTTAATTTCACTTTAAATGATTTACACAATCGATATTCTTGTTCTCGTCAAACGACTAAAATATCTTTAAAATGATTCGGCATAATTATACGAGAAATATCTTTATATAGATTGTAACAGATTTAGAGAGAGAAGAAAATTGAAATTGATCTAGAAATTAAATTATTTAATAAATGTTTATATTATTGATAAAGAAAATTTAACCGCGAACAGTCATCCAAACGTCACAATTCAATCGGAAATTCATGTTCAGTTCTACGTAAAAATCTTCTGATTTATCACGATTCATCGAATATATCACGACGATCGCCATGAGTTTGCGAGACCCAACTACGTTTGAATAATTTAAGGTACGTGTAAGTCGGGAAAAATTTAAGGAAAAAAACGTGGAATATTCTCATAACTTTTCCTTTAAAACTTTGCTGGTCATTTTAAGTATTGAGTAGAGGTAAGAAACCCTTTGCAAAAGTTACAAGCTAGTGGGCCTCGTGGGAATTGCCAGACGATCGAAAGAATCATAAATCAATGCGAGGAAGTTACTTCGAGAAAATATTATTAGCGACGCGTATAGCAGACGAACATTGTCTTCAAGTTTATAAGATCGAGAAATTGCACATACGTGACATAAAAAACATTTTTGCAATTTGCAAAAAAATTAATGTAAGTCAAAGACATGAAACATTTCTTTATTTATTAAAATATGCAAAAGAAACGTAATTATACAAAATTGTACAAATTAATTTCTTGAATAAAATCTTTAGAAAACTTAAAAATACTAAAATTTATATCCTTTAAACAATTTAACTTCTTTATTTTATATCCTTTACTTAAAATGTATACGTTAGTAAAGAAGTACCAGCAGAAAGTTACCATCCGAACCAAAGAAACGAAATCAAGATTCGCATCTCACACAAACAAATCAAACAACAAATATTTCCTCCGTGACATCTATATCTTCTCGATAGATAGCGACAAATCTTCCGAAATTTTCGGTCAACAGAGTATTCTTTCTTTCTCGGTCCAGAGTTCTTTCTTCGATTCATTAAATCCCGAGTTAGAGAAAGCTTATCGCAATAGGTCTTCGAGAATTAATATTGTTAGAGAGGGATAAGCATTTCGCGAACACAAATTACGAACGTGGCCAATTATCGCGAAGTTAATAAAGCCTTTTCTTGAAGAAAAGAGAGGCTTAAGAAAGAAAAATCGACATCTACTCTACCAAACTTACTTTTTCTTGTTTTTGTATCATCCATCACACTGTCCCATTCTCTTCGTCTTCTAGTTTCTTCTCTCTTTCTCTACCGTTTCAGATCTGTCTTTTTTTTTGTTTCATTAAATTCCATACGTCTCTCAATCTCTCTCTGAAAGAAAATGTTTATAATTTTTTCCGATCTCTCTTCGTGGTATTTCATCATTTAATGTAATGATAATGCTGGTTTCACTCACAATCAGAACATCGAAATTAAAACTACAAAAACATATAATATTTTTACTTCTATTTTAATAGCAATATTGATTTAAATGATTCCCGGATAAATTGAAATCATTTTGTGAAATTTCTTATTTTTGCCTACAGTAAAAGGAAAATTTTCCGAATTTCCTCTTTGAAAGGATATGAATTTTGCAATTTTCATCATCGTTTCCATTAGTTTTGAAAGAAAGGTGCTTAAAGATAATTTCAAAATAAGTCAGAGGTGAATGATTGCCCAATTACCCACACTTGTTCTCACTGTGTAAGTGCATAGGTGTTGAGTGTGCAGAATAGGTAATATATAATAGCGACAGGATAATCTGAAGCAACCCTATAAATTACATTCAAGCAATTGATCGACGTGATAGGAAAGTTCCCTCTCCATCTTTGTCCATTTAATAAAGACGCCGAAGGTAACACGAAGCGGATTGAAAAACAATAGTCGACCTTTCAGCGGCATTCTTGGCACGCGATGCCCGTGAAATTGTGACGACAAATTGAGCCTTCTCAGGAGCGAAAGATTCTTCTTCAGTATTGCACCCTTTCATCGTTTCGCTTTCTACCGCGATCCATATCGATTGCCTGAAAAGAGACCGATCTCGCTCTCCATTTTCACGAAACTTCTTTTAAACACTTATTCGTCTTTCTTTCTCTCTCCGTTTCCAGATCGCGTCATTGCTTGTCGCTACTGCGATTCACATCGTTCGACTCGAAGATACGATTTTTAAATGGTTCGACATTTATCATAAGAAGTGACGTGCAAGGATCGTGAGATCTGAACGTAACATGGAAAATTCTAGGAAATTTCAAAGCAATACTTATATCTAATATTGTACGATCGAAATCGTTTTGTCTCATAAAACAGAAAGAATTATAGTCCCGCGAATTTATTTAGTTAATTTATAGAGATATTTATAGAGATCTGTTATTATTATAAAAATTTTTCTTCACTTTACTATAAAAAAAAAAATAAAAGAGAATATTTTGTCATTCTGTTTAAAACATTATTTCCTTTAAAATTGTTTTTAAAAATCTATTGAAAATCGATATTTAAAATTTAAACGATATTGCTTTTTCGATTTGGAATACCAATTCCTTTTAATGTTTGTTATTCTGTTTAAAAGGTATTATTTCCTTTAAAATTGTTTTTAAAAATGTATTGAAAATCGATATTTAAAAATTAAAATGATACTGCTTTTTTATTGGTATAATATCTTTATATATCTTTATATATCTTTATAATATCAACAATAAATTAAGAATCTTTTATTTTAGATCGCATTGTGAGAAACACAATCAATACTAGAAAAATGCCTATTATGATCAAAGCTGGATCTTTATTGCTTTAAATAATTTAATCTTGAATCACTAATATACACTATATATGTATTTGCATATATACCATATTGTAGTCTTTTAGAACTGCACGAATTGTTTTTCCAGACTATAAATTAAAATTATTCTAGTAATCGCGAATTAAATTGGCAAGTAATTTATTACATTATAAAGATGTTAATAAGTTGAAACTGTTAATAAATTTATTGCGAAAAATATTATTTCGGCCGGATCTTGAATCCAGATCTTGTATTCCGTACCTAAAA